TTCTCTTATTGTTAGTCAAATTAACCAAATTACTGAGAAAGTCACCTTTTGTTTGTAATGGCTCTTGGTGCCTCTGCCCCAGTCTTTGAGTAGTTATGCTGATTGGATTAGCACCTATGCATTTGAATGACACTGTTATGCTGATGAGATCAGGGCTGGAGAAATTCCGGTAACGGGCTGATTCCTGTATTGCATTTGCATACTTTGTTTAGATTGTCGCCACCTCTACTGAATGAATCCCGCCCCCTTAAAATGTATATAAACTCTACTGTGCTGAGCTATAGTCAGACTTGGATGACTGCAGCGACGCACAGCGAGTCCTCAATAAAGAGTGACTTCTGTATGAAAGATATCCCAACGTCTCCTGGTTTCTGCTTCGACGAGGAAAAAGTTTCCTACACCTCTTTCACAGAAATTCCGGAAAATACATGGATAATGATTGATTTGTTCCGGGATCGTTTGATTGTTGTTCATTCACACTGCCAGTGATTTTCCGGAATCTGTGTGTGCGTTCACACACATCCCGTAAAGACACGTGATATTACGATGTGACATGTAATGTGACCCGTTCTGTTTCATTTAAGCTGGCAAACGATCAGCGCCGATAGTGAGGAGCTACCTGATCTCTGCTTCATTACAGTTTGCACATATTTTTTCATTGCGAACGTTGATCTGCCTTCAAAACACCCGGTAAAAGAGTCGCACGATAACGTGCATTATCACTACGACACACCCTTTATGGCATTGGTTCTGGCTTTTGTTCACACAGAGCTCATTGCGGGACTGAACCCGGCAATGTTACTAGGTCCCCAACCCGGAAACAATCCCGGGATGTGTTTGCGTTCACACAGAAGGCCCTCCGGCAATTTGCCGGGACCAACGTGCAGTGTGAAAGGGGCTCGAGTGTCTCTAATGCCATCTGGTGGGGAAAAATGACATAAAATTGCATTTTATGATTACAGCCACTAGAGGGGCCTATAGAATGGAGATTCTTAAATAATAATGAATAATTAATTAATTAAATAATAATAATTTATGTATTTAGCAGACGCTTAAAAGCGACTTACAGTGCATTCAGGCGGCAAGTTTTTTTACCAGCATTTGTGTTCCCTGGGAATCGAACCCACAACTTTTTGCGCTGCTAACACAATGCTCTACCACCGAACCACAGGAACATGCATAATATGTAATAATAGGAACATAAATGAGCCAAACAAGTGAAATCTTTAAAAATACACCAACTTGAGGCTTCATTAAGCTTTCAGATATATATCAAAACATTAAAACAAACTATATTTTGAAGAAGAAAAAATTAATTGATACTGAATTTTAATCCAAACATATGCATATTCATACGGCTTCATAAATATGTAAAAAATATAAAATCAATAAAAAAATTTAAATATGATATAAACTCATTGGTCTCCACCCATCACTCAAATTTAACTGTGTTAAGATAAACACAATAACACTATTATATTAATACTATTATTTAACTACTCAATCTCAGAAAATATTGAGATATATATTTTTGTCAATATCGCTCACCCCTAATATATTTATCGTTTTGTTTAGAAAAATGTTTAAATAAATATGAGAAGTGCCCTTTTTTCCACTTGAGCCCCTGCCCCTCAAAATGTCTGTGCATGTCCCTGGAGCACACACAAAAAATTTGAGTGGATTCGAGGATTCTATGTGGGTGTAATAAAAAAAAAAAGTAACAAAAGTGTCCCTCGCTGGTCATTTTGACCCAGCCATAGAAATGAATGGAAACAGCATTTTTTTTAAATATACAAAATCTGACACAATCCAGAAAAGATGCATACCCAAACAAAGGCTGAGACTGCAGAATGTCCCCAATGCACAAAAAAACTCACATACCCACACACGGCACACACTCTCCCATTGAAACACATTATAGCATTTATGATATATCTGCTGGGAAATGACTGTCATTTTTAATTTATTTTTTACTTAAACACTTTGCTGAAGTAAAAGTATTTTCACACTCAAAGCACATGTACTCTCTCACACCAGTATGTATTTTCTGATGTTCTAGATGTGAACAACTCTTTCCAAACAAAGAACATGAATGTGGCCTCTCCTTTGTATGAACTCTCAGGTGTTTATTCAGGACTGAAGCTCTCAAAAATGTTTTGCTGCATTGATCACATGCGTACAGCTTCTCTATAATGTGGATGTTCATGTGATCCTTAACGGTTGATGATTGTGTGAAACTCTTCCCACATTGATCACAAGAGAACGGCTTCTCTCCAGTATGCACTCTCATATGCTCTGTAAGGTTTCCTTTTATTGTGAAGCTCTTCCCGCACTGATCACATGTGTACGGTTTCTCTCCAGTGTGGATCCTCTCGTGTGTTTTCAGGAATCCTGACTGAGTAAATCTCTTGTCACAGTTTGAACATTTATACCGTTTTTCTCCAGTGTGGATGTTGATGTGTTTCTTAAGGCTTGATGATTGTCTGAAACTCTTCCCACACTGATCACAAGTGTATGGTTTCTCTCTGCTGTGGATCCTCTCATGTGTTTTCAGGATTCCTGACTGAGTGAATCTCTTGTCACAATGTGAACATGTGTACGGTTTCTCTCCAGTGTGGATATTGATGTGTTTCTTAAGGCTTGATAATTGTGTGAAACTCTTCCCGCACTGATCACATGTGAACGGTTCTCTCCAGTGTGGATCCTCTCGTGTGTTTTCAGGAATCCTGACTGACTAAATCTCTTGTCACAGTGTGAACATGTGTACGGTTTCTCTCCAGTGTGGATATTGATGTGTTTCTTAAGGCTTGATAATTGTGTGAAACTCTTCCCGCACTGATCACATGTGAACGGTTCTCTCCAGTGTGGATCATCTCGTGCATTTTCAGGTGTGTTGATCGACTGAATATCTTGTCACAGTGTGAACACTTGTATAGATTTTCTCCAGTGTGGATTTTCATGTGATCCTTAAGGCTTGATGATTGAATGAAGCTCTTTCCACACTGATCACATGTGTATGGTTTCTCTCCAGTATGAACTCTCATGTGAACATCAAGATAATATTTGCTTGACAAACTCTTTCCACACTGAGTGCAGGTGAAACATTTCTTGGCTCTTCTTTTCTTTAAATCCTTCGCTTTGGTTTGAGAGCAACTCAAACGTTTTTCTCCAGGTTTCTCCTCAACTTCACTCAGTTCTTCATTCTCCTTGGTTTCTTTAATCAACTCTAAATTAAAAGTAAAAGTAAATTTTCAGTAACTCTCAGTAACTCTGGTGAACCCAGATGTAACAGTGTAAAAGTAGACAATTGCTATACCACATTTTGGTCATTTTGATGCAATTTTGTAAATTATACGTCACTGAAACTTGCCATGAATAAGATAAAAATAATAATAATTGGAATATCAATGTAAGACATTATAGGCACAGAGAATAAACTTTGTTTATTAAAGACCTGTTTGCTCTTCAGAATCTTCGGTGTTTCATTCTGCAGGGTTTGCGGCAGGAGCTTCACCGAATATGAATTTCTGTGTGGAAGAAGCAGATTTGCCAAAAATCAACAATACAATATAGCTGCAAGCAGCAATTACAGGGCCAAGCACTACAGAAACAAGCATCAGACCAACTGCAGCAATGAGTAATTAGAACCATTTTAAGATGATTTTAGTCAAAATGGCAGAAAAATCATAAATATGACAGTAGTAATACTGGCTTATCGCTTTTGACCAATAGGTGGCGCTGTTATCAAATATATGTGGTGTGTTCTGTGTGAGGTGACAATGGCACACATAAAGTCTGGTGTCAACATATCAAAGCTTTGCAGAGATACAGCCTCAAAGTAATTTTGGCATCATGCCTCAACTTTGTAGCGGTGCCATATCCAAAAACATTTTTGTCTATCGACACGAAATACATAACTATTTTGCCAGCACGGTCTGCAGATGATCTGATTTGATTTTTGTTAAAATCGTTCCAACAGTTCAGGAGGAGTTCGAAAAAAAAAGGTTTAACAAATCAAAATGGCGGACAGGAAAACGCTTACCATGGCATAATTGGTATGTCTGTTGTCGGCATGACCCAATTAACATTTTTAGACCAGTTTCATTACAATCAAAAGTTATAAGCATTTTTGGAAATTTCATAATGGTTAATGAATGGTTTATTACTTTTGACCAATAGGTGGCGCTGTTACCAAATTGATGTGGCCGGGTCAGTGTGAGGTGACAATGGCACATACAAAGTTTGGTGTAAAAATGTCAAAGCTTTGCAGAGATACAGCCTCAGATGCAGTTTGGCATCTTTCCAGCAAATTCGTTGATGCGTTAAATGATAACTGTTTCGTATATCGACATGAAATCCATAACTTTTTGCCAACTTATTCTGAAGATGATCCAAGTCAAATTTGGTGAAAATTGGACCAACGGTCTAGGAGTTCGAAAAAGTAGGTTTTCAACATAAATCAAAATGGCGGACAGGAAATTCAGCCAATTATGGCATAATTGGTATTGATGTCATCTTGACCTGATCCAAGGAATCTATCAACATCAGTCTCATTACAATAGGCTATTGTAAACAAAAGTTATTAGCATTTTTAGAAATGTCATTATAACTTTTGACCACAAGGTGCCGCTGCCCCCAAAGTTTTTGTGTACCATCAGGGCATGGTGACGAAGATGCATACTGTGTTTCTTAACGATATGTCAGTGCGTTTGGCCGATGCCCAAAATGGCTGACATGAAATTGTGTATGGTTCGACTCAGCATGCTCCATCGAATCTAAAGAGACCCGTTTTGTGATTTTTGGTCAAACCATTCAGAAGTTATAAGCAAAAATAGCTTAATATTTTTCATATCTCCTGACCACTAGGTGGCAATTAGCCAAAGCACTATCAGGTAGCCTCAGGTCATGCTTGTTATAACACACCCCCAAGTTTGGTCTCAATACGCCAAACCGTTGCGAAGATATAACCTCACATCCATTTTTGTGTGATTTTCATATAATTTTTTCATATAATTATTTGAGAATGGTTGGATGAATCAACTTGAACTCCATACATTTTTGCCAGCATGGTCAGAAGATGATCTGAGCCAATTTTGGTGAAAATCAGACAAACAGTCTAGGACGAGTTCGAAAAAGTAAAATTTTTACAAACTACACCTTACGTGTTTAATTCAGTTGCATTTTGGAGTTCATTTGACTTGGCATGAGCAAAAGTTAAAATATGATCCTTCTGTGCCTTACGGTTCAAAAGTTATTAGCATAAACATGATTGAACATTTGGACAAGTGGTGGCGCTACAGAGTTTGAGTCAGAGACTACAAATTTGCTGTGGATAATGTTGAGACTGTGCTCTATCTGTGTGCCAAATTTCATAAATTTCCCACAAGCGGTTCTATGGGCTGCCATAGACTTCCAGAGCGGCCTAATCAGTTACCATGTTTTTAATTAATTTACATATTTAAGCATTTATGTATTAGAAGCAGAAGAGACCAGAGCCTTACAAATACCAAGTGTTGTCTCTTTATAAATCATTACATTACTAAATGAAAAGTATTAAAGTAAGTGTACAAAGAGCACATCAATATAAAATGCTCATTCAGTAACACTGCACATGTGCTAAGTAACTATACACTAGAGCAAATAATATATAAATAAGGTTTGATTTCCTAAATCTCTAGAACAATAAAGTGATTAAATTAAAATGTTATAGTTGTATATACCACAAAGCAAAATTGTAATATTTCCAGCATTTCGACACCTCCGTAAGGATGCATTTAACTCAACAAAGCGGAATATGATAAAGAGTGCTTAAGCGCTCAGACCTGATGATGAAGGATGAAGCTTTACTTCTTGAAGCTCTGCAGAGATGATCTGAGACAAAGCTGATGAAAATAATAATAAAAGAACAACAGAATCACATCTGGTTCATCTTGATCCCAGTTCAGTTTTCCTCAAGTTTTCTCCATCAGAGTCATGAGAAACTCCACCTCACTGATCTACTCAGAGGTTTTCAGTTCAACGCTCTGCTCTTCTCTAAGATCAGGAATCAAATGCATGACATGAGTAATGAGTATCTACCCAGAATCTGCACTGGAGATGAGAGGAGTGTATTTATCAATGTCTCCACCTGCAGATACTCAAACCACAGTGGGCGGAGCTTCACTGATGATGTGTTGCAGTGGGTGGAGCTTCACTACCAATGAACATGCGGGAGGAGGAGCTTATTTGACAATTATGTTATCACTTCTCTGCTTGCGTTCCTTTGAGCAATAAAACCAGTGATATCAGCCTTGGTTGCCATGGAACCAGAGGCCTGTTCTGCTTTCCTGAGGTGTTACGCACTTCGGGGGGAGGGTCCGTAGGTCATCATATGGCTTGTTAACTGAGGGGTGTTACACAGTATTTGTTAAATCAAATGAAAAATTGTGTGTTTGATTGGTCCAGACGCTATACTGTCATGCATAATGTACGGCATTAAAAAGTTTTAAAAGTGTGAAATAATTGAAATAAAAATGGAACAATTAATAATTTGAATCATAATTTAAGCTGTAAATAAGAAAAATGTATCCCATCCTACAGAATTGTCAAAAACGTGATAACTGTCAGAATGACTGATTTAGGCTCGCCAACTGTGCCGACGCTCCCCTCTGGGCTCCCATGGTTCCGAATGGGCTCAGCCCTCCCCCCGCGCGTTTGTCAGAGATTAGTGATGGGAAATTCGGATCATTTTACTAGGGATGCACCGGCTGACTGGTCATAAATCGGAACCGGCCGGTTTTTGCTTATAATGCGCGATCGGCAACGGTTTTTTGTATTTTTTTCGTCCGATTTTTCCGGAAGTGTGCACCGAGGCGCCAGCAGAAAAAATACCACGCAGAGCAAGCTCACTGTTGGCGATGCACGATGGAAATGCAGAGCTACCTGTCTGAGGCACAGATACCAAGAAGCGAACAGCCGTTGGTGTATAAATGCATCTAAGGTCAGATAACATTGTAATTTTCTCAGAATATACATTTAATATTAGAGTCATTTGCCAATGATTTCGAAATGATTCGTTCCAAGCAAGTTCGGGGGAAACCCCTCCCTTCCATAAGCCTACTCTGCTCTGATTGGTGAGCTGGCCAAGCCTGCTGTGATTGGCACAGAGAGGAGTCCTTGAGCAAGTTAGCGAGCGCTACCATTGACAAAGCACCTTTGTAGTGATGGGAAGTTCGAATCATTTTACCGACTCAGACCTTTGAGTCTCGTTCAGCAAAATGAACGAATCTTTTTTTCGAGTCATTTCAGTCGTTTCGTTCATTTTAGCAAAATATAATTAAAATGTTACGTGTTAC